CCTGGGGCTGTCTGAGGCCCCGCCGGGCCGGACCCGGGCCGGGTTCTGGGGCGGCCGGCCCGGGGGCAACTGTTCCAACCGCTCTAACTGCTCCCCGGCCGCCCTGGTCCGAGGCGTGGTCCACGAGGGGCGCCCGCAGGGGAGCGCGCTCGGCGGCCTCCAGAGGATGTGCGGGCGGACGGAGGCCGGGACGTGGCACCGTGGGCCTGGGCGCTGGTGGCTCAAGGAGTGGCTCAGCTGAAGTGGCAGCGGCGTCTCCAGCCTTCTCCCCGCCCCTTCCCCGTCCATCCCTTCAGCCGGGAGGGTAGTATGGAGCCGGGTTGAATTGAGCTCTCTTCGTTTCTCCCGTCCGGGGCGAGCGCGGAAGCGGCCCTCGTTGGGCTCCGACGGCTTCCCCGTGACTGACTCCCCGTCCCGACTCCCAGTCACCCCTCTTAGAGTTCAGGGAAGTGTCGTCAAACGGGCTTGGGTGGCTTGTGCTCGCCTCTTTTTTGCTGGTAAGCGGCGAAGTAGCCCTTTCAGTTTTGCGAAGGGAGTGAAGGGTCTCTCGCTCCAGCGCCTGCACACATTTTAGAGCCCCCTCGCTGTCTCTCTCGAACCTCAGCACCCTGTGGTTGGGCCTCATTCTGTTATCGCCATTTAACGGATGGGAAAATTGAGCCCGAGTGGGGTGGGATGTATTAAGTGTTTTATACTGTGGATTCTACCAACTTGTGAGCGGGTTCGCTTGGTTCAGAATTTACGTTTCTAAGGGTCAGAGTTACAGAGTTTTTTTTGGTGGGATTTTTTAATACCCTTCTCTGCTAGAAAGGAACGCAGAAAATTTGACTTGCCAAAAATATACCAGAAGCTAGTAGAAGACTTAAGTATTTTTGAGCAGACTCACCTAGAGTAGGAAATTGCTACTCAGTTACAAGAAAGATCCTACTCTGAAACGTGCTCAGGGGTTGCTGGCTAGTTACGTCGTATGATAAATTGTGTTCTTAGTTCACTTTGAAATAGAATAATGGCTTTGCTAAATCATGAACTTGTTGATATAGCATGAACTCATGGGTTGAAGAGAAGTAAAGGGGAGCTGAGTAAGATCTCTTCTGGATTTTTATTAAAATCATTTAAAATTGGAGATCGTAAGGAATAGAGAAAACCTTGGGCTAGCCCTGTTAGAGGTTGACTTGGTCCAGCTAGAAGTTGTTAACTCTAACAAAACTGTTCTTTTTTTAGTTCTGTTTTGACTCTTAATTAAATAAATTGAAGTAGGATAATGAACACTTAGAAATATGTAGAAATCTGAGTAAAAACTTAGATCTTGCTTTCATGACAACTGCAAAACTTATTCTCATTTTAAACCATGTCGAGATAAATTTGGTTACTTAAAGCTTAAAATTACTCCGGATGTACGTTTCTGAGCATTTCATAAGGTAGGAAAAAGAAGTCTGATAGTCAGGACCAAAAGGGAGACCACATTTATGATCAGCTTTGAAAAGTTAAACATTCTGTAAATGTGCCTTTGGGAGAAGTAGAAGAAAAACACACGTATTACTACCTACAGCAGGGATTTTCAACCGGTGTGCTGCAAGAATTTTTAATAATGCAATACTTGACTGTTTAGTCAAGGGCACTGACCTCTTTTCCCTTAGATTGTCAAATAAAAAAAGGTCAACAGTTAACACAACAGTAGCCATCTACTGTTATACCTATTTTTTTTGTCATTTTGGCAAAATATATTTTTTGATGTGCTGCAGAATTTTAGTAATTAGTTTGTATGTGCCATGAAATGAAAAAGGTTGGACCTACAGTGAGGTCCAAAAGAACTTCTAATCTATTGCATTCTACAACTATTAACAAGAAGACGCTATCATATAAAGTGGATTTTCTTACCATTGCACAAAGAGTAGTTTCTTTGTAAATATAGCATTTTGGACAGATAGTTTTATACCCAAATGAGTTGATATGTCAGTTGCTAGATACCTGAAGGTCATGTACAGTATGATACTGTCCCATGTAAAAGTTGTGATGCTTTAGAGATTCATAACTCCATCCATATGAGACATGGTATTGAGGGACGATTTGGGTAGCAGAGGAGAGAACATAATTATCTGCATTTTAGCTTCAGGAGATTATAAATGCATTGTTGAAACTTTTTTTTTTAGTGGTATAGTTTTCTATACTGGCTAACTTTGTATAGCCTTAATATCTCTAGTTACAGAGTTTCAAATAACACTGTAACCTGAAGCAAACTGAACAGACTGTCTTTGCAGCCCCTGCAAAGGTCTTTTGAATATCTACAGGAGTAGCAAACTGGTGTTACTTGTAAAAAAAATTCAGTTTTTGGAATGAGTAAGTCCGATGTATACAACTGGAATAATAAAGCTGGATAATACCAGTTAAGCAGTAAAAATGAGGTGGGACCACAGAGGACTTTTTTGTTAATTTTTAATCTGGCTCTTTAAGACTATTCCAGAAAAGGTTTTAGAAGAGTTTTCAGTAATGGTGGTATCACTGGAATATGCATATAACTTCTGGAAGTGATTAATTTTAAGGGATCATTTGTATGCTATAAGTTCTGAAACATTTACTTTTTTCCAATCAGAAGTGCTTTATTAAAACAAAACAAAACCCCCCCACAAATCCTTTAATCAGAAAGTTTGATTAAATTCAGTATTAACTTAAGCTTTCAAAAACCTATTGGGGAAAGCCAACAGGTGTATCAGAGAAAAGCAGGCAGCTGCTGACAATTCTTGGGTGGAAAAGTAAGTTGCATACATACACAAGCTGCCCAAGTTTTGTTTTTCAAAAAACAGGTTTCAAGATCTACCACAGAAACCATATAGACACCCCCAACAGTACAAAAATTTAACATTGAAGTTTAAGAATATAGGAAAAACCAAATATGACAATACCCATGAATTATTTATTAAAGAAGCCGTTCAGTCCTAGTGGAGAGACCTCATAAATGGTAACACAGAAAACAAGGGCTAGTAGCACATGGAACAAACCTAGAAGTTTTCCCAATGACTGACTAAGCTATAAAATAGCTCAGGATACTGTTAACATGTAGCTTTCAGTCAAAACCTATAAAACTGGTAGATTTTTTTTCTACCCAATTACCATGATTTCTTCCTTTTTACCTTTTCCCTAATTTCCTCTAGCAACATTTTTCCTTTGGTTTCACCAAAAGGTTTGGAACCTAAAGTGAATATCAACTCTTACTGGGATAGCACTTGGGAGATGCAGTCTTAGAAAAGGCAGTGTAACTGAAGTGGTCTGACAAAGTTAGGCAGCCATTCTCAATGTGACACTGTCCCCCATGTTAATAACTAGGTTAATGGTTTCGCTTATGGCTGGATCACATGACCCAGTGCAATAATGTGTGCTCCCTGGTAAGGTGCTGCAGACCTGTGTGTGCAAACACCCACCATTTAAGCTTTCAAAAAACACAAAGCATCATTTAAAACCATGTCAGTAGAATAAGAAAATACTGCATTTCTGTTGGCCTGTTTTGCCTCTTGAATTGGCTTGGAGTACTGTTCATGATACAGAAGACACAATTGTTAATTAGTTGCCACTACAAGCTACTTAGAATTCAGTACTTCCAGATCTTCAATCTTCAGCACCTTTTTTGCACCAATAATGGGTTTCTTCATTAGCCTCACCCCTGTCATTTGATCAACACCCCCAGGGAGTGGAGTGATGTCACCAGCTTTTTTCCGGACTCCTTCAAAATCAACATCTCCAACCAACTAGAGTTTAGCAGTGATGGGATCTTGAATATTTACTTATTCCCACAACAATGATGGCTGCTCCTTCCTTGATTATATCTGCCATGACCAGATTTGGAATGCCTGCAGTGGAGACCACAATATCTGCAAGAATTGTATGTTTCTTCAGCTGCTCTTTGGGAGTGTATCGAGATATTTTAACAGTGACATCACCTCCAGGACGTTTATGTGGCCAGTTGTGTGTAGTACCATTGCAGTGGGCATTCCAACATTTTTTGACTTAACAGCTACAATCATATTCTTCCCTAGGGTTGGAATGCTAGCTCGATTATTTCCCATATACCCCATGGGGTAGCCGGTAACATGGAATACACGTCTGACAAACACATCCGCCCTACCTTAATTACACAAAAGCCATCAACATCCTTGTCTGGGGAAACAGCATTGCAGGTCTTTCATCAGTGTGCTCATAAGAGGCAGCTGAGTAAGGAGGCCGTCTACAGTATCATCATGTTTATTGATTAAATTCAACAGTTCTTACTCTGAAATTGAAGCTGGTTTTACAGTTGTCTCACTGATGATTCCCACATCTGCCGCAGCCTTGGTTTTGTTGAGGACAGGAATGACTTGCAGGATTCTCACCAAACCGGACCGAGCTCAGGTGTGGCTGTTTGTTGCCTGATGCCACCCACTCTTCCACCTCCTGCTGCACTTCCTGCTTGAGATTTGCTTGGCAAGTTTCCTTCCAGAAATGACACCAGCCTCATTTTGAATTGCTGAGAGGTGCAAGGGATGATGGTGGAGATGGCACTTCTGTGTGTGGCCAGAGCTTGGACGCTATGTAGACACAAGGGAAGCGGTAGCCATGATGCCAGGAGAGCCTGAAGCACATTTATTTTGTGATTAGACTTGAAAGGTCCACTACTGAGCTACCAGGTTTTTTGTTTTTGTCTTTTAATCTTCACCTTAGTAGGGGGAGAAACATCGTGATATGAGAGAGAAACCGATCGGTTGCCTCCCATACCACACCCTGACAGGGGATCAAACCCTCAGCCTAGGCATGTGCCCTGACCTGGAATCGAACTCACAACCTTTTGGTGTATGGGACAATGCTCCAGCCAATCAACCCACCCTGCTAGGGCCTGAACTACCAGTTTTTTTTATAACTTAATGAAATTTATGCTGCATTTACTGTGTGTCGAGCTCTGTACAGAGTACAAATATTAACTCAATCTTCTTAACAGTCCTATTTTAATTATCCTCATTTTACAGGTGAGGAAATGGGGCACTGAGTGGTTAAGTTGCTTGCCCAAGGTTAACTAGTGAGTAGTGGAGTCTGATTCAAACCAAGGCAGTTTGGCTTCAGGATCTAGGTTCTTTTTTTTTAATGTTTTTATTGATTGATTTTAGAGAGAGAGGAAGGGGGGAGAGAGAAACATCGATGGGAGAGAGTAACATTGATTGGCTGCCTCCTATAGGTCCCCCACTGAGGATCCAGCCCACAACCCGGGCATATGCCCTGACCAAGAATCGAACCTGTGACCCTTTGGTGACTGGGACAACACTCAAGCACCTAAGCGACACTGGCCATGGCAGGGATCTAGGTTCTTAACCACTATGCAGTGCTGCTCTTACTGCCTGTTTCCTGGTTAAATGTTTTTAATTGGTTTATATTGTAAAAGATGATGGTCATTTTAGTAAAAGGTTTCTGGCGTAGATTATAATACTGTTTGAAGAGCCAGTAAGCAAGCTGTAAAAGTAGCCTGTTATAGAAAAATTGTCAATGTTCAGTCCACATAAGATTTAGCAGGAATAGGGTTATAAAGTTAGTGTTACTTACTAATCAGAAACATACTTGAGGAAACATAAGTCTAGCCCAGATTCTCATTAGATGGAAAAAACTGAGATTGTAAGACATTAAGCAGGTTGCTTGAGGATTTAATGGTTGAATTGGAACCCTGGAACCCAGTTTCAGCAGCACTCCCAACTCTGGGGGTTTACGTTTTAATGTTATCATACTTTAAGGATATCTCCAGGAGTAGAATAATACAGGGCTATTCAGATTAGAGGAGGGTGCATTTGGTGCACTAAATATTTATCCAGTTCTTAACAGTGTTTGATACATAGTAGGTGCTCAGTAAACATTTGCAAGCATGCTGTACTTTCTGAAAGCAAGGTGTTATGCTTCAAGGAATACTTTGCATTTATAGAAGGGATCCATCTCTTTTCAAAAACTAAGGCTGATTGGTAATTTAAAATAATTGGAAGATTGACTAACAGATGTCAAAAGTAATAATAGATGGTGTGGTCGGGAGAGACTTGACTAATACAGAAAAAATTGCAGTGAGCCACAAGGGAATGAAGCTACATGTTAATTTTACTCAACCGGAAACCACCCTTGTACTTCTTTGGTGTATACCCACTCTGAAATTGAAGTTCTGTCTGTGACTTTTTGCTGAACCTTCATGAGTGGCATTCTACAACTCCAAGTTTTTATGAATTCGCTTTTAAAAGCTGGCCTTGAATTCTTGTTGCCTGGTTTGGATTAGGTTGAATCAATTTTGGTTTAATTTAGTAAGTACAATATTATTGAGTATTTGTAAGCCATGTGCAGGGGTAGAAATAAGTAAGAATAATACACAGCCTAATAAGAGGACATAGAAGTGTAAGCTATGTGGTAAATATATTCATGAAAGCATGTGTTGGATACAGAGGTAGCCAAGAGTGTGGGAGATTTTAGTGCTATCTGGGTGAGGGCGGGAAAGGCTTTCTGGAAAAGATGACAGCTAGGTTTTAAAGTATAAGTAGGAGCTTTCCAAATACACAAAGAAGGGATAGCCATTCCAGGTAGAGAAAACATCCAGAACCGAAACAGAATGGTGTGTTGAGACCACTTTGAACAGCATTGTTGGAATATAAAGTGGGATGCTTGGGGAGGGGGTTATAGGAGGTTAGACTGTTACAGAACTTTTGCTTCTTGAAGTTAGGCGTGAATCTAGAGGGAACTCAATGTCTTCGGTATTTCATTTGTCCTTGACAATCAGTTGGAAGCTTTAGGTAGTCAGTCCAAATGCAAGGTTAATTAAATAGGTATTTTTTTTCCTCCCCATTCTGAACACCTTGGGAGAAGAACCAAGATGAAAGAACATTGAAATTGGAGGATTAGTGGATTTAATGGAAGAAATTTTTGGACTTAAAAGATAATTAACAGGAAGGTTTTAGAAATATAATAATAGTAAATGATTGGGAATGTGGTATGTGATCTCCTAGTATGATCACCTGGCATGAATGTTTCAAGCAGGTGGTTTGAAGCAATTCTACAAGAGAGAAGGGCATGCGGTAGCATCAGCTCTGACAATAAGCTTGTTTCTGTCACCTGATTCCCAGAAGGTCATTTGGCTTTAAGCCAGCTGCTGAAGCCCTGTGTGCAGGATGATTTTGTTGGTTCAGTTCACCGAACCTAGGGCTGTGACCAGAAGTGCCTTATATCAAATAATTTTGTTGATCTCCTCTCCTATCATGATCTCATCATAATATTGGTGGCCCCCAATATTGAGGGTGGAGCAGTGAGGTGATTTATGTGCCTGGGTTACAATAAAGAGTTAAGCACTCCCCCGGCCGGGCGTGGCTCAGTGGTTGAGCATTGACCTAGGATCCAGGCGATCGGGGTTCGATTCCCGGTCAGGGCACATGCCCTGGTTGCCAGCTCGATCCCCAGTCGGGGGCGTGCAGGAGGCAGCCGACAATGACTCTCTCATCATTGATGTTTCTCTCTCTCTCTCTCCCCCTCTCCTTTCCTCTCTCTGAAGTCAACAAAGATATATTTAAAAAAATAAATTAAAAAAAATTAAGCACTCTTGGAATCTTTCATGTTAACTCCTTCTAAAATACTGCAGTTTTGGTGTTATCCCAGATTTTATCTTTTACTTAGATTCCTGGGTTCTCTATTAATTTATGTTTGTTTTTAATATTTCACAGGCTTTCTTGATCATGGATGGTGAAGATATACCAGATTTTTCAAGTTTAAAGGAAGAAACTGCTTATTGGAAGGAACTGTCCTTAAAGTATAAACAAAGGTAATGTTGAAAAGCATCCTAAAAATAGGGCAGGGCATTTGGAATACACCATCTCTAGCATGTGCATTCTTAAAAACATAAAGCTAAAATTAGAGTTTCAGACTTAGGGTTGGGATTCTAGAAATAGTCATAGCATTGCTTGTATTTAAATAGTACAAAAATGCCATAAATCCTTATATTACTCAAATTATTAAAATAGTAAGAAAACTTAGTATCATTTGTGATTTTTTTTTTTCCTGGTAGTTTACCTCCTTTTATTCTTACTACTCTAATTGGCCACCTTTGGCCTGCTGTGTGCATTGATTCTACCTCATCATTTCAGTCTTTTGGAGATTCTGATAGGCTGTGTAGGGCTTCATATAGCAGACCTGAGTTCTCTTCAGCAAGTGTTATCGGTGCCTGGATCCAGAAGCTTTGCCGGAGGGGAGAAGAGCTTCGGGTGTATGGAGCATTTTATAAAATCTCAGTTATTTTAATTAGTTGGGAGAACGTTTACATAATCTTTTGAGCACCAAAACTTTCTTAAATTTCTTTTTAAAATTGAATTTTTCTAAAATATATATACATTTTCTTACTTTGGTTAACAGAGTTTTCTAAGCCTTATCAAACCTTTTATTATTATTTCATTGTTGTTGCCGAAGCCAGTTATGTTGTGCCAGTGGGTATAAAAGGTATGTGTCTATGGCAGGCATTCTTAATCTTTTTTTGTGCCATAGACGCCTTAATAGGCTGGAGAAGTCTGTAGACCCCTTCTCAGAATAATGTTTTTAAATGCATAAAATTAAATAATAGAATTACAAAGGAAACTAATTATACTGAAAAACTTAGCTAAATATTGAACTAATTTGTGGTATAGTAATATGTGTTTCTTCATTAATACATTAAATAAGGAAGAGCTAGCAGTGAGTATATTAAATGTGAGTCCTTTTAGGGCTTATAACTTTCATTGAGCCTTGAATATAGAGTGAGAGAGGTAAAACAGATTGTCTTTATTATTTAGTATATTTTATTAAAGCATAGCATTCAGACAAAAATTCTTGAATTGATATATAATTGTCTTCAAGATGATCCTTATAGTTCCTACTAACTACAACTCATCTTTCCCACTTTGTTTTTGATTAGCTTCCAGGAAGCTCGGGATGAGCTGGTTGAATTTCAGGAAGGAAGCAGAGAATTAGAAGCAGAGTTGGAGGCACAATTAGTACAGGCTGAACAAAGAAATAGAGACTTGCAAGCTGATAACCAAAGACTGAAATATGAAGTGGAAGCATTAAAGGTAATTGTGGCAGTAGAAGTTCTAGTGTCTAATGTACTATGTTTCATTAAAATGAGAAATGTATTTTTTAAAGGGGAGCTTAAGAGCAGGCGGCAACAAAAATGTAAAAATAAGCTTAAAGTGAATTTTGACAAACTGTTTTCTTTTATGGAACTAAGGGAAAGGTGATTTAGAGTTTAGGAGTTCACTTAGAAAGTCTGTAGTCGTCAGTGTTTTAGCTATCATGTTCCTAGCTATAATTTTGTAGTTCCTGTAATTTTCAGAAGTTGCCTGATTATTTGTTTTGATATGTCGCCTCATTTTGTGGTACTTAAAAATTATATTTGTATGAAATATACACATCTATTTCATTATTGTTTATAGTTTTGGAGCTTAGTTTGGATTTAAAAATTGCCTTCTAAAAAAGAATTTTCAGGAATAAAAGGATTATCTTCTTTTGTTGCTCTTAACCACCGCCTTAGCCAAATGCTTGGAGACTTTCAGTGTCTGGAGAGTAGGTGGGTTTGGGGATGGTGGGGGTAGGCAGGTCAGGGGTAGGGAATTTGAGCTCTGTCAGTCTCTGTTTTTGTGCTCACCCTGAGCGTATTTAGCCTGAGAACCCAGAAGTTCCCCCACCATTTTTGGGGTTTTTGAGGCAATGGTTTCATTATTTTACTGCTTTTCAGAGAGAGCATTATTAGATTTCTGAGAAGAGAGTGGTTCACTATTTAACCTTTGTGTGAGCTAAGGCATTTGGAATGAACGTATCATTGTTTTTAAGTATCGTGGACAGGAGAAGGGGTACCATCAACTTGGATTGTGGGTGAATTCCTTGGATTTTCCCTCCCCTTTAACTTGGATTTCCTCATTTATTAAAGAAAACTGTACATTAACAACACTTTTTTCCTATACCCATGCCTTTAGGAGAAACTAGAACATCAGTATGCACAGAGCTACAAGCAGGTCTCAGTATTAGAAGATGATTTAAGTCAGACTCGGGCCATTAAGGAGCAATTGCATAAGTATGTGAGAGAGCTGGAGCAAGCCAATGACGACCTAGAGCGAGCAAAAAGGTGAATGATGTGTATTTTGTTAGAATAACCAAAGTTGGCAATCAGTGATTAGTCAGTGATGTATGTCTTTAGGTTCAACCTATCACCTAGATCTTAATCCCAGAACACTTTTTGGTACTCAACGCATTGAAACTAACCCCAAACCCTTATCTCCCTAGATATTGCCCTTCTAAGCTTTTTTCCCCCCATTTTTCTTTTTTCCTTCTCTCATGTACCATTGTTGTTCCTGTTGGCTTTTCATTAAAATATGTCTCATTCATTCCTCTATCTTTCCCTCTCTGTCATCAGTACCACCACACTTTTTGTAGATCCTCACATCTTAAACCTGAATTCTGCAGTTATTTCCTAGCTAATTTGTCTTTAAATTTTTACCTTTTTAAATTCTCTTCTGTTTTAGGACTAACCGATGAATTTTATCAATATATTGCTTTCATTATGATTTTGCTTAATAACCTATAGTTGCTTGCTATTACTATTGCCAAGCTTTCATATATCTGTAAATTAGTTGTTTCTTAACCATTCCAAATTTAATTCCTCTTACTTCATTCCTATTACTTTATTACCTGGTTTTTCTTTCCTTAATAGTTGAGTGACTCTTAAATGCCCGATAGGATGCTAGAGTTGAGGTTACAAAGATAAACTAGCTACTGACTGTGGGTGTAACAGATGTGAACATTTCATATGATAAATACTCTAGTAAAAAGAGTGTACAAGTTGCTCCAGGGCATAGAGCAGGGAGCAGCTAAAGTAACCCTGGAGAGATTGGGGAAGCAGAACCTACCAGGAGAAACAGAAATTAATCAGGGGAAGAGAGAGATGCAAAGGCAGAGAGGCAGGAAAGCGTGTGAGGTATTAATATTTCATTTTGATTGAAATGTATAGAGACATGGCTGAACAAGATGAGACTGGAAGGTGGTTGAGGCCAGGCTGTGAAGAACCTTGTGTGCAATGTTTGATAGTCATTCTATAGGCAGTGGGGGGTCTCTTTAATAATTTTTTAAACAAAGGAGTAATTTCAGCCTCTGGTTTCAGAAGATAATACTGAGGAATTGGAATAGAGAGGAGATGTAAAGACCATTTAGGAGGAATTCAGGTGATGGATGGAGAATTACGCATGGGCAGAAGACTGAAGGAGAGCAAATGGAGTTGAGAGAGATTTTGACAGTTGACAGGGCTTGATACAATTGGACATGGCATTATGAGTTCGGACGAAGTTAAGGAACTTTATAGCAGGTAGCACATAGCAGATAGTGGAAACATAGTAGGTACATGTTAATGTTTGTTGAATAAAGTAGTAAGATGAGAAATGCAGGAAGAAGAAAGGATTGGTAGGAAGAATGTAAATGGAGTGGGACCTGGGACTTTGTGTTTTAAACAAATTCTTAATTTTTACGTTCTTGAAAACTATTGAAAAGTTTTCCTGAAAATATGTAAACTTGATTGTATTGCATTTAAAATCCAGTGGGGAGATATAAATTGTATAATAAGTGGCTTTCCTTTAAGGAATTTTAAGGAATTTAGATGGGAATTTAAGAGAAAAGAATATATTTAATGGCTCTAAATGATAATAGAGACACTAAATGCCACCAGAGATCAGAGGGGTGAGATCATTCTTTCAACTGGGACACGCTTTTTAGGTCAGGAAATGATATGATATCAACTGACAGTTTCCTTTTGTATTACCTATTTGTACACTATTTAATTCATGGATTCTAATTTTTTTTTAGGGCAACAATAGTTTCACTGGAAGACTTTGAACAAAGGCTAAATCAGGCCATTGAACGAAATGCATTTTTAGAAAGTGAACTTGATGAAAAGGAATCTTTGTTGGTCTCTGTTCAGAGGTTAAAGGATGAAGCAAGAGGTAAAATTTATAACCTAACCGAAACCTTACTACCCCTGAGCCAGAGTTCTTAGCTAACTTCAGGACCAACTTGTTAAAGCTATACATTTGTATACTTTGTCATACACTATGCTAAGTACTTCTAATCTGTTAACTTACTTAATACCTCCATCATCATCTCTAGGAGGCAGGTCTTACCATCACTATTTTATAGGCCATAAAATAGGCACAGAGAATTTTGAATTTTGTCCAAAGTCTTACAGCTTGTCAGTTGGGATTCAAACCCTGGTCTGTTTTTCAAAGCCTTAGTCACTACCACTGTGCATATACTGCTTGCTTATTTTGGGTTTTTTCCTTCTACCTAAATACCTTTGTTATGCACATAATAACATATGTGTACACATTGCTGTTTATATATTATACATATAATGAATATGTATTTTTCCTTTAAAATTCTCCTTTCCTCCTCCTCCTTTTTTTAAGTGCATGGTAGCATGCAAAATATTACAAAGAAGAGAATAAAAATCAATGCCAATCCGTTTGTCTTGAGAGAAATCCACTAATAGTTTGGTGTGTTTCTTTCCAGTCTTTCCCATGAGTATACATACTGAAGCAAGAGGTAAAATTTATAACTGAAACAAAACCTTGTGTATGTGTGTATATACACACACGTATGTACACACACACACAAAAGGGTGGGCAAAAGTAGGTTTACAGTGGTTTGTATGGAAAATAATACAATAATTAACAGTGTTTTGCACTCATAACTATAAACCTGCTTTTGCCCCTCCTATATATATATTAGGTCCACGGTATATATACATATGTATTTTCTGTCCCTTCTTTCACTCCTTAATACAGTGAATATAATCCATGCTACTAAAACATCTTTTAAAATAGGGTTTAATAATGTTTATAGTATTTATTAGATATATTTATTTGATGGATCCCTTATTATTGGTGGGTAATTTTTTGCTATAAATAGTGCTGTGAATAGGATTCTTGTACTTAATATTTAGGAATATCTTTGATAATTTTTTTAGAATAGATTCTTAGAAGTGGCAAAGGATATAAATGTTTTTAATGGTCATAAAAGATACTGCTGAATTACTTTTTGATATTTGGTATGTTTACACTCCCTATGGCAGTGATTGAGAGTGTCCTTCTCACACTGTTAATTAGCATTGTGAGTAATAAAAATAGATTTAAAAATTATTTAAAAATCAATTTGAAAGTTGAAAGTTGGTATCTCATTTTTTAAAAACTTGTATTTCTTTGATTACTACTTGTGAAACTTTTGGTTCAGTTTCTAAGAATAGTTTTTCATGCCTTTTTTTAAAGAACTTCACATAATTTATATAATGTATAAAATATTAACTATGTTTTATTCATTCATTCATTCATTCATTCATTCATTCATTCATTCACAGTTGTGGTCAAAACACATAAAATTTACCATCTTTTTATTTTATCCTCACATGAGGACGTGTTCACAGATTCTTAGAGAGAGGGGAGAGAGAGAGAAACATCGATCGGCTGCTTCCCAAACGTGCCCTGACAGGAATCGAACCCACAGTGTAGGCATGTGCCCTGACTGGAAATTGAACCTGTGACTTTTTGGTATGCTCCAACCAACTGATCCACAATGGCCACGGCTAAAATTTACCATCCTAACCATTTTTAAATATACAGTTCAATAGTGTTAACCATATTCACATTGTCATGCAAGAGATCGCTGGAATTTTTTTTATGTTAGTAAATTGAAACTATACCCATTGAACAACAACTTCTATTTCCCCTTTCCCCCAGCCCCTGGCAATCACAATTCTACTTTCTGTTGCTAGCTATGAGTGTGACTACTGTAGATACCTCATATAAGTGAAATCACACAGTGTTTGTCTTTTTGTGACTGGCTTTTTTCACTTTGCATAATATCCTAAAGTTTCATCCATATTGAAGCTTGTGACAGAATTTCCTTTTGTTATAAGACTGAATAATACCCATATATATATATGTATATATATATACACACACCCACACACATTTTTTGATCCATTTATCTGTGTCTGGACACTTGGGTCGCTTCTACCTCTTGGCTATTGTGAATGGTGCTGCAGTGACCATGGGTGTGCAAATGTGTCTTTGAGATCTTGCTTTGAATTCTTTTGGATATGTACCCAGAAGTGAGATAACTTTGTATCGTTTTATTAACATAAGCAAGTATTCTGAAGGTCAGTTGCATAACTGGAGAAGAAGACATTAATTTTGCATTGAAATTCAACTTTGAAAGCACGAAAAAAAATTACAACTATTCTACTTCCTTTCTAAAACAAAATATTTCATAGTGACAATTAGTGAACAATATTAGCCCATTTAAAATTATAAACATGCACTTAATTGATTTTTGCAGTGATCCCCAAACTACATCATTTCAAAATACAAGAAAATGAGTTGGTAAAGAATATTTTTGTGTTATACATGTTTTTTGTTTTTAATCCTCACCCGAGGACATGCTTAGAGAGAGGAAGTGTAGGGGGGGAGAGAGAGAGAGAGACATCAATTGGTTCCTTCCGCCCTGACCAGGGGACTGAACCTGAAACCCAGGTATGTGCCCAGACCGGGAATCAAACCGGAATCTCTTGGTGGTTAGGACGACACTCAACCAACTAAGCCACGCTGGTCGGGCATACATGTTCCCTTTTACTCTATTTCTTTTTGCATATGGGCATAGATATCCTTTTTCTTAGGTTATAGCATTTTTCAATTCTAAAAGATCATTTACCCCTGGTTGGATAGGTCAGTTGGTTAGAGTGTCGTTCTGATATGCCAAGGTTGTGGGTTTGATCCCCAGTCAGGGTACATATAAGAATTGATGTTTCTCTCTCTTTCTCAGATCAATTTAAAAAGTTTAAAAATAAATACATAGTATTAAAAAAAAGAGCATTTAGACAGTAGGGTTGCCATGTTTATTCCCCTAGAAATAATTGTTAAATAGGAAATTCATATTTGAGAAATAGTAATTTAGGAAGAATGTCTTTATGGCATTTTAGATGTGACTTTGCGTTATGTATTTGCTTTCTCTAGTGAGTATTACTACTTTTGCTACATTTTACAGATTTAAGACAAGAACTAGCAGTTCGGGAAAGACAACAGGAAGTAACCAGAAAGTCGGCTCCCAGTTCTCCAACTCTGGACTGTGAAAAGATGGATTCTGCTGTCCAAGCATCACTTTCTTTGCCAGCTACTCCTGTTGGCAAAGGAACAGAGAACAGTTTTCCTTCACCAAAAGGTTTGTAATGTCTTTTTCTTTTTTCTTTTTTTGTTTGTTAATCTTCACCCGAGGATATTTTTTTCATTAATTTTTTAGAGAGTGAAGGGTTGGGGGAGTGGAGAGAGAAAAAGAGAGAGAGAGGGAAACATTGATGTCAGAGAGAGACATCGATCGGTTGCCTCCCACAAGTGCCACACACTCCAACCTGGGCCAGGGACCCTTCAGTGTGGGGCTGATGCTCTAACCACTGAGACACACCAGCCAGTGCTGTTATGTCTTTTCTTTAATAACTAAAGCAGCATCTTTTTGGCATAGTGGACTAATAATTTAATGGAACTTGAAATATTTAGGGAATTCAGTATATGGTTTTAGTACCATTTCAGATGAGATAAATCTTTTTCACTAAGCGGTACTTGGACAATTGGCTACCCATTTGGAGGAAAAAAATGTACATATTTGATGAGTTAAATGATTTAAGTGTAAAAGAATTTTAGGAAACCATTAGGAGAAAATATGGAGAACATTTTTTATAATATTGAGGTGAAGAAGCCAAAGTCTTCCTCCCCAAAACACAAAGTTTAAAAGATAAATGTTACTCTGAGAAATACAACATATGTTAAATAAAGGGTGAATATCTATAATGTATTGTGCCCTTGCAGATTGATTAAAGGAAAGACAACCCAGTAGAAAAAATGCAAAGGATAAGCAGATGATTTCAAGAAGAGATTCAAATGACTAGTTATTAAGGAAATAAAAATTAAAGTGACGATCAAATTGGCAAAAAGAGATGTCTAATATTATTGAGGACCTCACCATACAAATCGCTGATACTGACATAACCTTTTTAGGGAGCATTTTGGCAGTCAGCATCTGTTAAGGTGGAAAAATGGGCATATCATATCCTCTGACCCATCAGTTCTATTTTGAGAACTCTCTCCAGAAATACTCATCTGGATGTTTTAAAGATATATGTCCTTTTAGCATTATTTGTAATGATGTAAAATTGTATATAATCTAAATATCCATCAGTTGGAGAATGGTTAAACATATTTATGGTATCTCTACTTTATACTTTATCTGTAGTTTGGAATATTATATTGATTTTTTACATTGAATGTATACTGTGTTGTAATAACAACGAAACCCAAATTGCATGTTTAATCACATGTTTTATTTTCTTCTAGCTATACCAAATGGTTTTGGTACCAGTCCACTAACTCCTTCAGCTAGGATATCAGCACTAAACATTGTGGGGGATCTCTTACGGAAAGTAGGGGTAAGCATTCAATTATTTATCTCTAGGTGTTTCAGTTGCCAAGGTATTGAATTATTTCTTAATTTGAAATGAGGGAAGAAAAAAGGATACCTTCCTATGGTAAAGGCTGTAATTAAGCTGAGAAGCAAAAGCATCCAGTGACCAACTGAGGCTGGTCCAGATACACACCTCCAGGGCTTGGGGTTGCTGGTGTGTCTGCAGAAGGCCTGGCATGCCGAGCTCCTAAGTTCCCACTGGGAATTCTTCATGTTCTCCACGGCTGTTTCTAAAAGACCACGAGTCCTCTGTTTTTTTCTAAAACGCTTCCTGCTGTATGTCTTATACTGCCCTCTAATCCTGCTCTTTGCTGCTGCCTACCATCTTCCTGTTATTCCTGAGGTTTCTCTTTGTAGGACTGGGCATGGCCTGTGGCATGACTTTGTTTTGCTCTTAGTTGTGCCTGTCTTAGCACGCCTTGACCACCTCAACTTCAGTGCCATCTCCTTGTCTCTAACCTGAATTCCAGAACAGTTTGGCTTTTGAAATACTGAACTTGTTTTTCTGCTTACTCAGTGTTTTACTCTCTGTAATACTCTTTGACCTTCTCAAGAGAGCAGTTCTCAGTTTTTTAGCACTCTCTTCTTTCACTTTGTTCCCGTTCATCAGTGATCCTGCAGATTGCTTCCGTTGTTACTGTTGATCATGATGTTTTTGGCCATGGAGGAGACCTGCAGTGTTGATCATTCAAGAAATTGGACTTCTCCTTTCCTTATCCAGATCACTGAAAACAATATATAACTGTGGATTTAAGCTTTTATTATTTCCCTCAGTGACTTTAACCTCTCTTTTCAGTAACCTGCCCCTGAAACTTCCCACTATCCACCACCCCTTCACTAATTTTTGTGTGTGATACACATTCTGAAAAAAGTAGAAGTTGCATTGTACTTTCTACGAAGAAATGGGAGACCAAGCTACCAGGTCCTATGTTTACTTTCTCTGGCTTATGGAATTCCTTTTAACCATGAGATTAACTCTAAACTGCATTTTAAAGTTACTAGAAAGAGTAATGTGCACAAGTCATTCATACAGTACGTAATTTTCCTTCTAAAAGATAACAATTTTTTTTATCTAATTTGTTGTAAGAGTTAATGGTATTTACCTCTATAACTTGAAATAATGTTTTATTTTTCTGTTTCTTGACTTATCAATTTTAAGAAAAAAGATGAGGAATTTAACTCACATCCTCCCAGTTTTTTACTTTTTGTTCTTGTTAGTGGTTTTTTTTGTAATTTTAAATACGAAACTTCTGTTTCTGAATTTATTAGATTATATCTCAACTCCATATTGTGTGTGTGTGTCTCTCTCTGTACCTTCTTGTGCTCTCCATTGGTTGGTTCTGAAGATTGAAAATTAGTCAGTAGCATCTGTAATATTATGCCCATGTATAGATTACTGCCTAATCATAGAGGAGGAGCTGGCCTTTTGGGTCGTTTTACTCATGCTGTTCAACAGATGGCCCAAGCATTTTGTTCTTTATTATTTACTCAAAATCATATCAGGTTTTTTTGTATTGTGTGCGAGCTGACTTGTATGCCTTTTTCTTTTTCCTGGTGTTTCTAATTACCCTTTATATTTGTAGCTAGAAAATATACTCTTTGTAGTATCTCATACCTTCCAGCTTCTTCTTCATGCTCTTTGCTGAAAGCCGCTATGCTTGTCGGTCTGCTGCCCCACTGTCTCCCTTGAATCCTCTTGGATTAGTACTGCCTATTCCTGGGCCTCAAGTTGTCATCTTTCTTTCTTTCTTGTTTATTTTGCTTTAGTACCATAAGTAATTTATTCAGAAATGGTGCATGAAAGTTGAACTTGTAGTCCTTGCATGGTTTACCTGTTTAGTTGACAGGCTGTCTTCCAGGAGCTTCTCTGCTAGCTCCTGCATGCTTTTATGGATGTTTTGTTTTCTGCTTTGCTGTACTTTGCTCCCTGAGTAGAAGTACTGGAGGCTCGTCCCCACCCGCGCATCCTCCTCCCCTGGGAGATCAAGGCCTCTGATTTAAAGTTTTGTTTTTTCCTCTTACTGTTCTCCTGTTACTACCTCTGTTTGTAGTACTTGTTCTTTTTATTTCAGTGGTAAAAATATTCCTGCCCATGGCTAATTTTGCCCTCTGTGCTTTGTGTCCTATTCCTTCCAGCCTTCTCATCTTCATGTCTCCTGTACCTTCAGACTTTCACTCTCTATATGTTAATATTTATGCATAATACTTATATATTACATATTATATACACACTTTTTTTTATCTTAGAAAGCAACATAAAAGCAGCTATTCTTCCCTTTTACCCTACATCTCTCTTTAGCCATCATCCTATTTCTTTCTTCCTTTTACAGCCAAGCTTTTTGAAAGCATGTCTCCATTTATGTTAGCATTTTTGACTGTATGCACACTTCTCCAGACATTCTAGTCTGGGCTCTGTTCACGCCACTAAAATTGCTCAGTGATGACCTCAGTGCTGTTAGATAGAATGGATGCTGTTTTGCCCTGATTTTACTTGAAACATTCACTACCACTGGCCAGGCGTTGTGGTGAGAGGTGCTAAGAAGGGCATCTGATTTAGAGGTGAATGCTAAAGGTATAGTGTCATTGTCAGGTGAATTATTTCGTTACAGACAGGGTGTCAGACATTTACACTGCGTTCTAAGAAATAGAATAGCTTTTAATGTCATGTGAGGTGTTGTAAATGCTCTTATCCATTTAAATGCTTTAGAAATAACTAAACTGAAATGCTATAGAAAGAATTGGCTGCTCTAAAAAATTCTCAAGTGATATTTTTGCATTCTTTATAGTGTTTGATCCCAAAGCAGCCCCACACCACACACATTCACCCACACCCACCCCTAACTACCCAACTAACAAAACCGTTCACAACTCAGAAAGACATGATGGATGGGGTCAAGAGACCCGGGGCCCCTCTCTGCTGTGCCACATTTTCTTATGTGCATGAGGACTATGTCTGTACCCCTCAGTGACACTGAGGGGAATGAGTAAGGTACTCTGAACTCTTTAGAAAGGAAGTCAGCAGGAACATTTCCTCTTTCTTTGATAAAGGTAAGTAGCCACCTTTATCAACTAAGAGTAAGGTTTGAGTCTCGAAATAGAAATGGTTTAAAATGCAGATTTTTATGTGCTGCTACTGTTTTGACAACCAAATCATTCCTTCTTTTGTAGGCTTTAGAATCCAAATTAGCAGCTTGCAAGAATTTTGCAAAGGACCAAGCATCACGAAAATCCTATATTTCAGGGAATGTTAACTGTGGGGTGATGAATAGCAACGGCACAAAGTTCTCTAGATCAGGGCATACGTCTTTCTTCGACAAAGGGTAAGTCTTAAAAATTTTTAATAATTTTTTGAGTAGTAAAAGTTATACATTATTAAGTGAGCATATTCAGGCTTTGAAAAGGTAAACTCAATTAAATAAACCTACCTGAAGCCTGCTATCATTCAGATCTGACGGGACATGAAATCTGTTGTTGTCTTCTAGTCTTCATGGAGTCTGTTGCCCTGGGAACCCTGGTTCTGAAGTGTCTGTCCTGGAAGCAGGCCCTTGAAAGGCAGCAGTGCTAGGCTTGCGGGATTAACAATGCCTGCAATACGGTCCTTGTTCTCAAGGCTCTTGCAGGCTAGTAGACTTTCCTAACGAGTATAGGGTGGGGCAAAAGTAGGTTTAAAGTTGTTTGTATGGACAATAATAATAATACAAGAACAAACCCTGTTTCTCGCACTCACAACTGTAAAGCTTTTGCTCCCTCCCGTGTTTGTTAAGGGTAGAAGAAAACACTGTAGTTAGTATATGTGCAAACTCTGCAACAAATCTTCCGACTGAAGATTTTAGAAAAATATAAAACCACTGGATCAAATATAGTTTAAGAGATACACATTTTGTATGAAGTGAAGATGCTTTTGGGGAATAGAGGATTAAAATTGTTTTAAGATTGAAGCGGTAATACATTTTTAATGCAAAAACGTTTCCGTAGGTATAGAAGCACATAAAGTAAAATGTAAATTTTTTTAAAATTTTTATATCCTTACAGTTATTTCTAGGCATGTGAAATCATATTTTTAGATATCCTCTGTAAGGTTTTAAAATTTATGGGATTATACTTCAAATGTTGTTCTGCAACATGCCTAACATGATTTATATTGCCAACATCATTTCATGTCACTACATATTCTACCTAAATTAAAAAAAAATAAAACATTGCATGGTTATACCCTTTTATGGATGTGCCTTAGTTTAGGTAACTAGTTAAATAGTTAAGACCTATGGCCTGGGGATGCAGACCACACTACCTGAGGTGGCTGTTACTAGAACAGCCACGGAGGCACTGTGATCCCTTGCCACTATCTCTGGGTCGTAGAGGCTGCTCATTCTTGTTCTGTGAAAGCAATACAGATACAACTCTAGAAATTGTCACGGTTGCTTAAAGGAGCGTGTATGCTCTGTTTTCCTCAATAACTGGCATATTTCTGGAGGAACTAATTTGGTGCACAGTCCACTTTAAAAGCTTCCTATTGTCCACTCTTGTGGAGTGGAATGTTCTGGTTTCTCTCTGTTCCTTTAGAGAATTCTACCTTGAAGTATACATATTTCATTAAGGAGCACATTCTAAAATATCAATATATAAATCAGAACTTTATTTTAACCATTGGAGTTCCTTGGGGGGAATAAGTATAAAATTAATTTTCCTCAGGTTTAGGAGTTTCAGGCAGCCTTGAGGAATGCTCACTTTTATACACTAATGATAAATGGAATAAATAGGTATTTGACATTAAATTGCCATTTACCCCAAACAATACAGGGAAAGTTTAGGGGTAGTCTTCCGGAGTGTTGGAAACAGTATGTAGTTATTTTTTCCTGTAACTTGTAATTACCTCCAGTAGAGTAGTTATTGGTCTCTACCTGGAATCCTATTTCTTGCCTTGGGCACCTTATGATGTGAGAATAGGCATGAACCAGAAATGGATTGGTTGGGCAGATGGCTTTGCATGTGGAAGGTCTTTAGAACAGTAATGAAGGAGGAGGGGTAATGTCAGTTCAGGCTCACGGCTTCTGTCTTCCTTAAGAGACTGGCTTTCACTCGACCCCTGATGCAGAGCACCAGGGCAGTGAGTGTCTAGAGGTGAACCCAGTCTTAGGTAGATAGGAGGATTCAGAGTAACCTGGATCCAGGAGGGGGCCTCACCCCCAATTTGTCCCCTGAGAAGCATCCTAGATGCAGGTGTGGGCTTTATTTCCTGAACTGCAGCTGGAAATGTGCTTCCTGATAGAAAGTTACAAATGATACTTAGTTTTGGTTTAAATAGTATAAAATTTTAACTGTATTGTTCCTATTAAGAATTAATGTGCTTTTATGGGCTGGTCTTTCCCCAAGTGTTTAGTTTGTATGATAAATGGGTTGCATACCCTGTTGCTTGAGTTGCGTTTGTCTGATTGCCATGTCCCTGTAACTGTTGTTTGCGGGTTTTGCTGTGTCCTTATGTCTTTGCTGCTTTACTTTGATTCTCGCTTCCTTCTGGCCGAAACTCCTGCAGGCTATTAACTAGATAAAAACGACGATGATTTTTACCAACTGCCAAAGGAAGAGGGGAAATGTCCTAACTCCCAGCTCCATTATTAAATGTCAGGTTGAAAGAAGAAATGCCAGTCCTTATAGACTCTGTGCAACTTGTAGTTTCAGGATGAGAAAACGCTTTGCATTTTGCAGCCTGTGGCTAGAATATGGCTGCTCTACCACTCACTCCTAAGCAGTGTATCTGTAGCACTGTCACTGTAGTTTTGCTGGCACTTCTGGAGACCTAGAGGAGCATTGTTTGGGGAAAGTTCATTGAAATTGGTTTGTGCATGTGCATGTAGTAAATACATGTATACACCCCACCCTCCCACCTCCCTCAGAATCTTCAGGTGCAATGAGGCCTTACTACATAAAACAGCATATCTTACATATTACTTTATGGGATTTGAAAATGTTCTGTAAGTTCTGGTTATTTGAGGGCTTTTTGGAATCAGGATTTTATCTAGTCTGTGATTACTTCTGCAAGGTCCTGAAATATGGCTTGCTGGACCTACTTCCCAGGTGGTGCTGTTTCTTCCAACCACTAGTAGCCCTTAATATTACTCATCTGAAATGATACAAATTCTTGTGTAGTGTAGTCACTTAAGTTCTCAAAAAAAGTCTTTTTTTCCCCTTAATAGCTTTGATTTAGTTCCTTATGTATCACTCTAATTTTGTAAGCCAGTCAGATTTCTTTTGGGCTGTGTGTAGGTAGGTGGGCATACACTAATTTTAGGTAGGGCACGATGTGAAAATAGTATCTGTATTGCTGTTTAATGTTTTTTCCTTTTTTTATTAGGCAAGAAAAAGTCATATTTCCCACGTTGTTCATGGGTAACTGAATTTGTTTGCTGTGCTCTTTTTTATTCTTTTTCAATCATGGTGTGTGGTGGGGGACACATTAACAAACTGGTTTTACTAACTGCATGGGGCTGACTCTGCTTTAACCAACTTACAGCCCATAAGTGAGCTCTCAGGTTCCCGTTTGACTTGACTGTATATCATTATTGGTTCAGCTGTGCAAAACAAAAATGAATGAGTTGTAGTGGCTCTGGGGCAGTTGTGACTAGCAGTTGGGACTCAGTGTGTGGTCAGGTGCTGCAGTGATGATGCTGGGATTCTGGGGTGGGGGTCAAGGGTAGCTGGCAGGCCCTGGGACCATATTTGAATGTCTTTGTGGGACTGGGGTTCTTCCTGTTGCCCAGTGTGTCTTGTTTTTTCAAAGCAGGCACTATTGATTATGGAGACTTGCTGTGTGGGGACTCTCCCCTCTCTGCTCACTCTTGTTTCCCAAAGTACATTGGAATGATAGATGGAGATGTGTATAAGATCTGCCTGCCTTTTCAATTTTTAGGAAGGTACATTTGAGTTCGTAGAGCCTGAGGGGAGGACTCTAGCTGGCTGGAGCTGTGCTGGCTTCCGCTGAGCCATCTAACTAGGGAGAGGGGGTCTGGAGTGTCTGCTGCTCTCCTGAATGAGCTCTAGCCTACTCTCATGGGTTTCTCTACTGCCCTTTCAGGTGTACTCGACCTTGCTTCTTTGCTGGATTTAGTGTCCATACCTTATCTCCGTTGTGTTCGATTTATCGTTCTCCTGACTAGCTTCTAACCGTGCCTTGGTTCTTTCCCCCTTTTTACTTCTGCTGCCATTTTACAACTGACCTTAGTTCCTTTTCTCAGCTGGATTCTCTATTTTTCAGACACTTTGGTGGTAAGACCATGAAATTTCATAGCTTCTGTAACCTTTTTACATAGACGATTCCCAGATCTCTTATCTCCACCCCTGCCTGTTTTCGTTCCATTCATTTCTGTGTTGTCCACTGGGACATTTCCCCTCGGCTCTTTTGCTGCTCCCTTAAACCAAATGTGAGTAAGGAGGTGTTTCTTTCCCCATTTCCCAGCTTTGCAGTTCCCTGAAGTTAGCTCACCAGGATGACAATCCTACCTCTAGGGTCAGCTTTCTCCTCCCTCTGGCCTTTTACTTCCCACTTCTTGACTCAGAAAAGAAGTGCCAGGTGACACCCTGGCAGATTGTTGCTCCCTATTCTACCCAACCTGCAAATCAGAATTTCCATTTCCATTCATACTGAGAAATGACTTACCTAGTTTCTCGTTGCCCTTTATATTCTGGATCACACTGGTTTTTTCCCCCATTAGAACTGACCTGCGTTGGGAGCACCAAATTGGTTGCTCACTGAGGGCTGTCAGGTGTCCTCCAACCAGGAGGATACTGGGAAAGGATAATGGCCTAGACATTCGGAGGCAGGTTATGAGCCCTACTTCCCCACTGATGGGCTCATAGGTGAACTCAGGTGAATGGCTCGCCCTTCTCCTGCTTTGGTTTTTTGAGCAATACAACAATGGGGATGAAGTTTATGTTGTCTAAAGATCCATCTAATTTGAAAATGCCGAGTCTCAGTCCTAACCCTTCATGTGGAGCCAGCCCTATGGTTGCTGCTTTTGCACATGCCTGTGGAACAGCTGCCAGGTTCTTCTTGGCATCCAACAGTGCTCCTTTCTGCTGAGTTTTGGGGCTGTCTGTAGAACAGCTTGCCATGGCCTGCCCTGCGGCAGGGAGTGTGATGTTCACATGTTTAAAGCTGAGGTTTGTGAGGTCTGCGTAGTTCTCCGTGGGGTTTTAGGAGAAGTGGCATTGGGGCTCTGGGACTAGTCAGACAAATGACAGATGGGGCTTATGTGAGGGCTACAGTGGTATATAGGATGGGGCCCCTGTCCCCAGAGGCGGCACAGGCATAGCCTTGGGAGAGTAGGGAGGGATGATTTCAAGTTTTCACATGCAGTGAGTCTGAAATATCAGACCTCCCCTAGCCCCAAGAAGAAAATGGGGATCCTGGGTGTGCATCACTGAGATAGGAAAATGTACAGCAGGGAGAAATTACATGTATCAGAGCCCCCTTTGGCTCTTGGCCGGTGTGTGGGTAGCTTGACTTCAAACTGGAAATCTACTCTGAGGTTAGTTTCTTCAGAGTAGTTGGGTCTTTTTTCAAATCTCTGCATGCCTGTTTCTCTGCGATTATACTCACCTCTTCAGTGTACGGAGCACTTATCTTTGTGAAGAATGTGTGTACATTTTTTGTAAGGATGAGTCTATGTTCAACTCCTTAGACCCCTCTGATGAGTGGGTGGGTGGGGCAGTGGTGGGCAAGTGTGGTGCAGTTGGCTGCATCTCCCAAATTGCTAGTGGGACAGACTTACCTAGGAAGTTTTTCGGGATGGAAAGGTTGAAGTGGCTTCCTGTGAGAGGTTCCAGGCCTTGTGCTCACCTCCCTCGTTGTCTCCTGTGGCTGTGCTGCCAGGTGTGTGGGGCTGAGGTGGACGCTCTGCATCACTGGGCTCAGGTGCTGGGTCCTTGTAGACTCCTGTGCTGGGCTGGTTGCTTGTGAGTCTTCAGAAAAACCTACTCATTTGGCTTTGCTTGCTTAACAATTTAAAAAAGTTACTTTTTCCCCCTTCATTAAGATATTCATGTATATTGTAGGAAATTTGGAAAACAAAAAAGTGTAAAATAGTAAACCAAATTTACCTATAACCCAGAGGGAAGAAAAGTAACTATTGTTAAATTTTTCTTCTACAATATATATGATTTTATGTACATATATATGTGTGGGTGTATGTGTGTATGTATGTGTGAGTCTCTCCACACATTCTAGAATTAGCTACATAGATAGTAATGCCTATCTATATAAGGGGCTGTAATCTAGACTCTAGAATATATACTACTTATTTTTTTCCTTCACATCATTGAACATATAGTTTGGTAACCTTTTCCTACCTACCATTAATTGCATTCTGAATATTTCCCCATGCTATTAAATAACTGTGTGGAATGTGCTTTTAATGGTGGTATACCGTTTTATTATTTAGTTGTACCATTATTTAGCTAGTTTCCTATTGACAGACATTCAGACTTGTTCTACAGGGAAAAATCAGGGTTGTGGCTGCAGTGGCCAGTGTGATGAAGTCGCCGAGAAGGGAGCACATAGTCTCACTACCCTAGGACCACTGCGTTCTCAAGTCTAACCACCTGGTGCTTCTGAGGCAGCTGCTCTTCCCTTGGGCTGTTAGGATCTACTGTGGGCCAGGAAGAGGAATAGTTTTAGAGAGCAAATGAATTTCTTACTGTGTGTAAAGTGATTTTTAAATGACAGTCTCTCTTTCTCTTCCCCTTCCCTTCTCTGCTCTGGTCACCCTCACAGGGCAGTAAACGGCTTTGACCCAGCTCCTCCTCCTCCTGGCCTGGGCTCCTCACGCCCCTCCTCGGCACCGGGTATGCTGCCTCTCAGTGTGTGAGTTGCCCAGCCTCCAGGTGAGGGCTCCTGCCCTTCTCCAACAACCCAGGACACCCACGCCTCACCCTTCGGTGCCTGGGCCCAGCCCATGGCTCTGTCTGCCTCCCCAGGGCTGGCAGAGAGAGGGCAGGCTGCATGCAGTGGCGGCTGCTGGGCCCTGCCCAGCCCCAGGACTCTGCGCGATATCAATACTGGCTATTTTCTCTTCTCGCCGTAGTGCCGTTGGTTTCACATGATTGCACTTTTGTGGGTCACAAAGTGATACATACATGTATTACTTGGTCACTGGATGCAGAAGTACCCATTCATCACATCTGCCTCCTAGCCCTACCCTGCTGTTCTGATAGGATTTAGTTGTATTTAGGACATTGCAAATCTTCTAGAAGTTCTCTCCCAAATCAGGTCAATGTGTGCCCTCCTGAGCTCCAACCCAAGCATCTTTAGTGCTCATGATCATGTGTTCATCCCCAGCTCCACCCCACACAGTTTGGGCCTGTTGCCGGCAGTCAGTCAGGTCACTGAATTAGGGAACATTTTCTGCACCTTCTGATTTTACTTTAGCAGTTATCATTCCATAGACTTGCTTCCCAGAGCAGGAGCCTCTGGGGCCTGTGTACAAACAGGGCTGGGCCTCTCTGCTATTTCCTCCTCCTTTGTGTGCCTCAGACTAGGAGTGGAGGTGGTGGCAACCTCCTTGCCAACTTTTTGGTCTTTCTGTTAAATGACAGCTTCACAGCTTTTTTGTTTTGTCTTCTGAGGGCCTCTCCAGTTGTGTTAGGAAGGGTCGAGTGGCCTGATTCCAGGGGCTGGCTGGTGCTAGCTCCTGGGGGCGGGGCGGGCAGACTGACCATAAGTGGTTGTCCCTGTGCATCCTTTGATTACTCTCATGCTGCATTTACTGTTTACATTTGTTTTATTGTACATAGGTTTGTAAACATTATTGCCTAAGATATTTGTATATAACTTGGGCTTTGTAGCTTTTATTTATTCAGAACTCATACGGCATGTTAATGACTTATGATGGTGTCCTATTCTGGGCAGCTGTATAGGATCATCATGTGGTTAAAAAAAGAGAGAAAATACTTCCCCTCCAAAAAATCTTTTAATGTGGAAACAATAAATTTCACAAAAAAAGTATCGAGGTTGCTTTATTGGGTTCCTGTCATCCTGTGAGAGAAGAGCTGGAGTTACAAAGCCAGGTCCCGATGTCACTTCTGCTCTGGCATGGGACATGTGGGTGGACAGTGGCTATGGAGTGGGGCGAAGACAAGTCAGGCAGCCTCAGAAGTCTGATGCACCACTGGCATGTTCATGCTGGTTCTCCACGCTGGTTCTCTTAGCTGCAATCTCGGGGAGCAGCCTGAGAATGTCAGGCCCTCGTGCATATTTGGGAGGAAGGACCGGGGCTTTGAGGGAGGCAGTTTGCTAGGTCACAGGGTAACCACAGGATGAGGAGCTGGTCCTTCTGTGCTGTCTCTCATGACATGTTGGTGTCCTGGGATTAGAGGCTGCTTGGGTCTGGGCTTTTCTCCTCTTCCCTCAGGTTGATGTTGGCAAGTGAGAGACGGTGCCAGATGTTTGGTAGCAAGACATAAGGTGACTGGACTTGAAAAATGTGTAAATGGAGTCTGTACGAATGTATCGCACTCTGAACATTGCTTATCACAAAGAGCAAAAACAGTACAGTGCGTAGTTTTAAAACTGTAAGTAAGTGAAAAGTAAGTAAAATTCCTAAGTAAATAAGAAACTTTAAGCAGGATATATTTTTAAAAATTTCTTGTGTGTGTTAATATGTGAGCAGGAATATCTTCTATTAGTTGTTCCTGGAGATTCTGTTGTAAGCTGGCTCACCGAGAGATGTTTGCAGTGGTGTGTGCTGTGCCCAGTTGTGCTGGCCGAGCAGTTGAAAAGAAAACTTCAGTCCTCTTACTGATGGGCAGCAACTCCCAGCTTCTTTCCCAATCATTGGAACAACTGGATTAGATAAGAGGCTGAAACATTTGGCAGACCTTTGTTTATGCATGAACCCAAATCTTAACACCTAACAAGCAGAGCTACTCTGGTAAAGCAAGGATGAGTTCTGGAGCCCCAAATCCTTGTCCCTGGCTCCCCAGTGGTTTTCCAGTTCCCTTTCAGCTGAACACCCCTGGTATCTCATCCAGATGGTTCTGTCAATTGTTCAGTCAGATGATGGCAGGGGGAGGGGCCCTGGCTGCAGAGGCCCATGTGTCATTCACCCGACATCGCCAGTACTTTAGGTCCAGGAGAGCAAGGGCCAGGTCCATAAAAGGGCAGAAGTATGCTGCTGGGCTTATTTCTAGTCCTTTCAGGTGGAGACTCCCACACATTTTTGCTTTTTTTTATAGTTACAGCTGTACTTGGCATATGACCCCATGAGGAAGCTGGTTGACTCCCCTGGCCTCATTTTTAGCTGTTTGGGTTATCTAGTTCATAATGCTCAAATAGAGCATTTGCTACCTGACATGAAAGCTACTACATACTGTTTGCCCATCTAGCTAAAGGTTGCTGGCCAGCCACCTGCCTCTGAGTGGGTTCTCTTCCTAGGACTGCCAGTGCCCAGGTTTGCCTGGCTCTCGCTGAAACTTTTAGGAATGATCCCTCTCCTGAGCTGGGTCCATGTCGTGGTCTCCCTGCTTGGAGGGGGCAGGTCTTCCAGGTGGTGAGACCTTTTGCCTGCAGATATTTTTATCTCACCACCTGGTCCCATCCCTCGCTCCTGAAACGCACGAGAGTAGGAGCCAGTGCTCCACTTCCTTTCAGCCCAGAGTGGTAGAAACTATACCCAGCCAATTGAGCTAAGGTCTAGAAGCTGAAGTTGGGATGTTGAGTCAGCGAGGCAGAGGGGAATTAGATATAGGTGACCTGAGAGGAGGGTGGGCCAGCTTACCTGTTTGCAGAAAGGAAAGTGGGCCCAGAGTTGAAGTGACTGGCCTGAACTCACACAGCTAGTTCGTGGCAAAGCTGGATTGGAAATGAGCTGTGTCTTTTTCTGCTGTATTCTCCACCTTTCCAAACTTGAGGCCTTGCTGCCTTGACTCTGTCTTGTGCCTCAGGACATGAGCTGATAGCAAACCCTTGGCAATGAGCTATGGGGCTGGCATAGCCTTTGCAGCAGGAGGAATGTGGCTTACCCACCCTCCTCTTCCAATCTAGTACTTGTCAGTTATTGGCTGTGCTCTCTCAGAAGCTGTCCCAGAAATGCCACTAGCATCTTCTGAGCGCCAAGGTGGAGGCTGATGCCTCTGGGGAAAGGGAGGTGTCCTGGGGTGGAGCCACAGCTGTAGGGAGCATCTTATTATAGCCAGATCTGTCCTGCCTGGCGAACAGAACAGCCAGTCTGGCTACTGGTGGTAATAAGGCCAGAGGGGGGATGGGTCGAAGCAGTGAGTCTCTTTCTCTGTTTGCCTAGAATATGCTAGAGGAGCCTTTCCTCCTCCTGGTGTTTACTTCAAGGATTGTTTTTCTCTGTTTTCCCTAAAGGTTGAAACGAATTGAGAACACTAGCTTGGCCTTCAGAATTTAGATGTTACTTGATTCTTTCCTAAAAATGGGAGCAGAGGAGGAGGCATCTTTGTAAATCATCTTCCTATGACTTGAAGCATCTTATCTGAAAACTGGTCCTATGACTACTAAAAACATGATATATGGGAATACAGTAACTTTTTTAAATGTTAAAGGAAAAACAATAGTCTTGAGTTAATATTAGTTTAACAGACTCCCTTTATAAGATAGCACATGTGAAGAGGCAAATGTGAAAACAGAACAGAGCTTATAGTGCTGGTTTTGGGGGACCATGTGGATTTGTGCCATGTGGGTTATGGTTTGGAGTCATGCTTTTCGTCTGCACCCATAGTGGTTATGTGTTTCCTGTCAGCTCTGAAGCCTTCACCAAGGGAAGCGTGATGCAAACCTGGTGCAAATGTGATGGACAGAAATTTAGCTTGTTTACTTTTGGGGTGTTTGTAATCAGGTGTCAAGTGTGACTGCTGCCCCATTAAAATATGGAGATCCTGCCTGGCCACATTTGCTGGTAGAGGCCTGGGAGGGTACTGGGCAAGCAGGCTTCGGCAGCAGGTTTCTAGCACATGTTTGGATAGTCAGATGAGTGTCGTCCAAATTAGCGTAGAGCCCTGTTTGCTCCCTGTCAGATGATGGAACTGAGAAACACTGTTTTTTTTGGTTTAAAAGAGTGATTGTTTAAACTAGGAAAAAAATCCCAGCAAATCCTACTGTCACCTAGAACAGTAGGTACACTTTTACATTATTGGAGTCAGTAAATTATTCTTTGTAAGTTTTGAATCAATCTAACATGATAAGTTTATAAAAACTACTTTAGGGCTAATATCTCACGGTAGTAAGAACAATTAAAATCAGTCTCAGTAGTGATAAGTGTCTGATGCAGGGAATGGTCAGGATGACTTTGTCAGCTGTACAGGATACCATAGAGCCATTGGAAACCTAAGTGTGCAGGCGTGGAGCACATAGGAATGGAAATGACCGATGGGAAATGACTGATGAGCCAGAAGCTCAAAGTAGAGGCTCCCTGATTGCTGGGTACCCTGTTGAGTGCATTTTACAATTCAGATTTCCCCCCAAGCTCCACCCCAGCCACCAGCCCAGTGAGAAGAGATCACTGTATTTCACAGAACCTCAAACACCAGCAATTATAAGACACATCTTTATTTTGTGAACCATTAAGAAAAATGTGCCAATTAGAACTATGAAAATGCCTATCATTTTGACTTTTTATATTTATTGAAAGAGCTCTTTTAGATTTTAGACAGATTTTCATCATATCACACTTAACTCATAGACAAAAAGGAAAATGTGAGACATTCCTAAAACTTTACATTGATTCCAACATCCTGAACCACATTTTGACTGAGGTGTCCTTGTCCGTGTTTTCCCAAGCATTGCTGTCCTCTGGGCCATGGTGAGCGTTGGTGATGCAGCGTTTCTGAAAAGCATGTTCTGTTGATGGCTCCAGAAATTTCTTCAAGGCTGCTGAGGCCCATTCTGCAGGATCTGATGCTGGGGTTTATTGACCTTACCAAGACAACCACATCACAGCTGCCACCTACTGGCTGTAGTTGTGAGACGTGTGAGTTCACATGTGAGAACATGGGTGTCGTAGAACCAGTGCAGTATGGTGTTTTGAAGGATGCACTGCTCTGCTTGGATGCTTGTCAGATCCCGAGTTTAATAGTCAGATTATATCACTTTACATCTTGAATGAGGCCTCATAACATCCAGTCAGTAGGGATGAAGTCCATTATTGAGCTATTTTGAAAAAATAAACAGACCTCAGTGTTGTACTGACTCAAACATGAATTTTTAGTCTTGGTAAGGGTTGAAGGACATGGTCACATTTTTTGTATATGGTATACAGGTACTGGAATTACAGTTAACATTGTCTTTGAAAACTGGCATCATACCAGTATATCCTTATTGATAAGTTTCTTATTAGATTTCTGACAGTTGTATGAGACTTGACATGGTTTACTAGATTCCCAAATGACATGAGGCTACACAAGGAAGTGGACTGCCCCGTCTGGTCCTGACAGTTGGCACAGGCTATAGCATTCTAGCAAACGCTCAGAATTTGGTACAGATGTAACTAGAGTGACTAGAAACTGTTTGTGGATGGGGACTCCCCTTGGGTCTCAGCTACAGCCTCCACTCAGATTTGCCTGGAGCCTGGCTCCTCCCCACTTTCTAAAGATTCCAGCCTATGGCCTGTTCCGGCTTGAATTTTTTTTAAGGGGGTGAGGATGGGACGTAAATGGTTGACAACTTTGAGCTCATCTCTGCCCCAGTCTTGATGCAGACCTGTTTGTGTCCTGGCAACACTGGCTTCAGGAGGAGGGGGCCATGGGCCACTCACACCAGAGCCATAGGGAGGGCTGGCTGTGAGAACAAGTCACAGTTTGGTCTTTTGGCTCACACTTCATTTTAGCTGAGGTTTCTAGGGATGGGGAAAATTGGTGACAGAAAGGAAATGTGACAGGGTTCTAGAGTCTTTCTGATGTCAGAAGTATGCCTTCAAGCCAGTCAGGCTAGGAATAATAGGTGTTATTCCTACCGAAGCAATTTAAAATAATTCCCTGGAGTATATG